AACATTTAAAACATTACAAAAATGTATGAATATGCTGCATAAATATAGCACAATTTCTTAAAGCTGCCTGGTTCCAACTCCTAATCTTTGACTTTGATTGCCAAGCGGGGCATTTTTTGTGGAGGTGACTGGTCCACACCTGCATTGTCCTGTTGAAGGAACACACATATCATGTCACACTGACCAGATTTAATGAGTGATTCTTAGAGAAAATCATAATACATGTGTATTTCTACAATGTCAATGTGAGGGTTCTATAAACTGAAAAGAATATGATACTAGTCATGTATTAAATTATTAAAGTGTTTACATTTTTAAATCTGAAAAAAGGAGGGAACTTACCAATGCTCTCTTCCGGTTCATCTGGGACCTGGGAGGAATGCTGCTCTGATCCAGGTGTGAAGTCTTTATCCGATCCGGGCTCCTCGGTTTAGTGTTCAGCTGCACCTTCTTGTTAATATCCACACAGATTTTATTTTTTGGAGGTGGCTGACACACACCTACATTGCCCTGTTGAAGAAACAAATATAATCATGTTGGGCAGTTTAATGAGTGCTTGTTAGACTAAATCTAAACATATCTTTCTAAAGTTTTAAAATAATATATAAAAAGATTTGAATAGAGGACCTAGAAAACATAGAAGCATATTTGAAGTCAATGTTTTTTTGTTTGTTTTTGAATAAAGCTGAAAATGATGATGGAATCAGACTTACAGAAGCTCCCTTTGGGATATTCTGCTCCCTCTGCTTCTGCCTCTGCTTTTTAGGGATCTTGAGGCTTTCTCCCAGTTTGGGGGAATCTGAAGGTACAAGTGATCCCTGTGAGGTCCCCGAATGCACAAGTATACCTTTTGGGATCCTTGGGGCCATATCTTCTCCCTTCGGAGCCCCAGAGGGCACTACCGCTTCCTGTGAATTTGCTTGAGAAGACGCTTGAGGCCTCCTCTCTAGCAGCTCCCCTCTCAGAGGCTTTGGGGCAGGCACAGATGGTCTCTGTAGAGACTTGAGCACAGGTGCTCCCTGTGGAGACCCAGAGGGCACGGGTGCTTTCTGTGGGGACCCAACAGCCACTGGTGCTTCCTCTGTCTTTTTCTGCCTCCACTTTCTCTGCTGATGCAGCTGCTCCTGCTTAAGAGGATCAGGGAAATTTAGATTTCGCCAATCTTGAGACTGGGGCACAGGTGGTCCTAGTGGAGACGCAGAGGGCACGGGTGCTTTCTGTGGGGACCCAACAGCCACTGGTGCTTCCTCTGTCTTTTTCTGCCTCCACTTTCTCTGCTGATGCAGCCGCTCCTGCTTAAGAGGCTCAGAGAAATTTAGATTTCGCCAATCTTGAGACTGGGGCACAGGTGGTCCTAGTGGAGACCCAGTGGGCACAGGTGCTTTCTGTGGGGACACAACAGCCACTGGTGCTTCCTCTGTCTTTTTCTGCCTCCACTTTCTCTGCTGATGCAGCCGCTCCTGCTTAAGAGGCTCAGAGAAATTTAGATTTCGCCAATCTTGAGACTGGGGCACAGGTGGTCCTAGTGGAGACCCAGTGGGCGCAGGTGCTTTCTGTGGGGACCCAACAGGCACAGGTGATTCCTGTTGGGACCTGGTGGGCACAGGAGCTCCCTGTGTCTTGTTTTGGCTCCACTGCTTCGTCGACTTCAGGGATATGGGGCGTGGAGGCCAGGTGAAGTCGCAATACTCTGGCTCCTCAGAGATGGGACTTGAAACCTCCATAATAGCCCACCACTCCCCTGCAGCAAGGGCCATGGTGAGCTCATCTGAGAGTTCAGGACCTAAGGACTGCTCTGCACTCTCAGTAAAACCGATAGGAAAGCTTGCCATACTCAGATTGATTTTGGATATGATGATATCTAAAGAACTGAACAATACTGACTTTCTGCAATCTCTATCTGTAAAACACTGTGAAAGACAGAGAAATGGAAGAAATGAGTTGAGCAAACACATACAAACCTGGAAGCTGATTGTCTTATCAAATTACTTGAAAAAATAAATTTTCTACAGTGTATGCCCATGGCTGTCAATCAGAAGAGGCAAGGGAGTCCAGTCCAAAAGCCTCCTTCAAATCTATTCAAAATTAACAATTAAGCTTCATTAATTGATAAATTATCAATTTAACTACTAATGTGGTCAACTAAGATACATATAATGATATATATATATATATATATATATATATATATATATATATATATATATATATATGGTTCAATTTTCCATAATTATTGTATGTCATAATGTCAGTATCAGTATTTGCTTTCTACCATGCACAATTAAAAATGTCACTGAACGTTTGCTGTTTAATTGTAACAATGAGCACTCAAACACACCAAACCAACAATTACTAAAAACACACACAAAAACTGATTTTGCACGGGCACTTTGGACTAGTATATAAAATGTCTATCATGCCTGGTAGTCAAGGCACATTTTATTTACTGCACGAATAGAAGAGGATGATAGCAATAAAGACTCCATTTAACAAACCAATGAGAATAAATATTCAAATGGACATTTGTCTGTCCAAAATGGCCATTAAAGGCATAAGGAGTCTAAATGAAAATTACCTCCTTTTGTATATCAGTTACAGTCAGAGATACAGAGATAACCATTAAGGCCAATCAGCTTTCATTATATGATGTGTCATGAGATCTGCAAGTTGGTCAATGTAAAGGATCTCAAAGCAAGAGAGATTGAAAAGATAAGATAAAGTCTATGGAGCTCTCCATGTGCATAAATGTTTAAATGGTCATTTGTTGATTTAATGTGTTGTGTTGATTATGTAATAATGTGTCATTAATTATCAAGAATATAGGAGGTTATTATATGTGTATGGGAGCAAATCAACAAATAGCTAACGTTATATTAAAAACATCAAACCCAATTTACATATTAAATTGTGCACACAAATTAGGCCTACCACTGTATATCGTCATTTATCTGCATCGAGTCAATAACATTCTATTGTTTAAGTAGAGTCTAATCTGATCTGAGTAATGCAATTATGAAATAAAATTCAAATATCCAAACCCTGAGTAAAAAGCAGCCTACTCACCATCACTCGCCGACTCGCTACAAGTTGCAAGATAACTTTGCACTCTATTGTCTCAGCGAACGTTCTATGACATCACAATAGAGCACGGCGCTCACTGAAATCAAGTATTTGTGAGTGGCGGGAAATCTATCCTGTTTCGTTAGAATAAAACTGAATATGCAATACAAATACAAAGAGTGATTAAGTATGTTTAATTTATGACTGCTCATTTAACTCTAGTAGCCTATACTGACGTTTATGACATTTTTTTTTTCAGGTGCTTTGCTAAATAATTCTAACAGCTTCTTAATCCTAAGTATTTTTTCCCCTTTGATAAGTTGCATAATTATTATCTCTATCAGTTTTCAAATGTATTTCTGTGGTTTGCATGTGTTTACCTTAAAGAGATTGTTTTCAGATTGATTTATTATGAATGTTTTCATCTAAATGTTTGTTGCAAATATTTGGGGTTGTATAATAAGCATTGCTTTAAATTAATACAATATATTATTGAAGCCGGAGAAGGATGTGTGTGTGTGTGTGTGTGATTGGTTGTACTTATTCGTGCAAATTTGCGTCATTGCGTATAGGCTACATTTGTAGAGGGATTTCTTGCAAATAGCGAGAGGCGGAGAGCACGCGCGAACAGTTTACTGTTGGTAATGTGTTGTGTAGCGTCGCCGTCGCCCCTCGCCGCATCCATTGTAGACAGCATTGCTTTCGTTTGAGGGCGCTTAACACACGCAAGCACCCCGTAGAAACCGGCCTGGCAGCTCGCGCCATCTAGACACGGTGAAAGTTTCCCGATTGCGAATTTACTAGACACATTATAAATTAGCATTATAGTCTGCGATAGATGCAGTGCCAAAAGAGAAGATGAGAATTGTGGATAAAGACAGAGGTAAAGTGATGTAATGATGAATGAACAGTTTATCTGCATAGTAGGCTAGTAAGATATATATAGTTATTTATATATATTTAATGGCTGTTGTGCAGGTTTATGTGAATGTATCATAACATTAAGATGTTAATAATTATGACCATAGGCGCTGGAGAAAAATATATACAGTAAATACTGTAAATGTTTTATACCTTATGGGAACAGTCCCCTTCCCTCCAAAATTAAACACACAAAAAATTAATTCAATTCAAATATATATATATATATATATTTTTATTTATTTATTTATTTATTTATTTATTTATATATACTGTATATATACAGTATATAGGCCTATATATATCAGACTAATTAATGTCATTTCATTAATCTTCACTTAGACTGAGTTAAGCAAGAGTCTTGTGACAAATTATAATAGGACATTATAGCCATAAAACAATCAAAGTACTTGGATACTTAAGTACATTTGAAGGCAAATTCTTTTGTACTTTTACTCAAGTGAATGTTTAAAGGCAGCACTTCTACTTTTACTTGAGTAATATTTTACCTTGAGTATCTTTAATTTTACTCAAGTACATGGTATGTGTATTTCGTCCACCTGATGGTATCTATGTTGGATGTCCAGATTTTCATGGAATAATGACTTAAACTTGGCTTAAACAGTCTGTTACTCACACAAAGTGACTGTATGCCTTCAGTAGACTTACTTCCTTATTGAAACTTGAACTCTCCAGTCCGCATTTATTCAACAAAAACCCACCAGTGCAGAATTTAAAATGCCTCCTTTTGTGGTGAGCGAGAGTAAGAAAGTCATACGGGCTTGGAATGACATGAGGGTGAGTAAATGTGATTTTTGGGTGAACTGTCCAGTAGAGGAAGCACAGTGTTAATATTGTCCCGATACAGGCTGCAACAATAGAGCATTCTGATTGTTTCAACCATGTTTTTCATTCTGTAGTTCTATAGAACTACAAAATACATTTTGGTCACAATCATTGATTATTTGCGAAAATGTCACCAACTATCAATTTTCTTTTTGCGGTTTTCTGTTTTGCAGAAGCCAGAAGGAAGAGTGATGGATATGGAATGCTGTTAGATGGAGAAGGTGTTGAGGACCCCATTGAGGACCCCGTTGAGGACTGCTTTCATTCCAGTGATGAAGACGACGGAGAAAAAGAAGAGGGGCGGTCACAGGTGAGTGGCGAAGAAACTCCAAGTCTGGACTGCAGTGGTTTCAGACCATTACTTCAAGACTCGGATGACGACGATGAGCAAAGCCCCGCATCTTCGAGAAACCTCCAGATGTCTTCCGAATCCGAGGTAGCAGTCGAAAACCAGTCCTCTCTGGTTTCAGTCCACGCTCAGAACCACTCGCCACCACTGGTGTCACAAACCCAACATCCAGGTGTGGATCCAGGCGTCGATGTCTTCTCCAAAGCTCCATTTCGGATCGGACAAGACGGTGACAGCGATGGAGATGTATTCTCCAACGCGCCTTTTGCTCGTCCCCCGGTTCAGTCTCAACAGCCTGATATTTTCCTCCAGGCCCCCTTTGGTAGGAAGAAGGAAACTTCTGGAAAGGTCTACACCAATCCAGTGGCCCAGCCGGGATATTTACACCCCCATCCAGGTTCTTCCCTTGACGAGAGCATCCTCGGCCAAGTGACGCCTCTGCCCTTTCGACCCCAGGCACTTTCCAAGTATTCCAGACACTATGAAGGACCCGTGAACACCGAGCCTGAACACAAACCGATCGGCGATCACAATCTGACGTCTGATGTGGCTTCTGGTGACCCGTTTGTCTCGGCACCCTTCCACCTTAAAGGCCGTCATGATAAACACTGAGAGAATAGCGTCCGAAACCACACCAGTACTTTCGCCCCCTAAAAGATTTGAGCTCAACACATTAAAATGCTGTATACTGAGTGTAATATATTGAAGAATGAAGCACATTTATGGCCTTTGGCTGTCTATCTCTGGGTAAACGTTTGATTTGTGACATCTTTTGCTACCTCAGATCATTCTCATGCTGTCAAACTTCACTTCTGTCCTGTGTGTCTACCACGTCAACAGAAAACTGAACTGGTTTGTTGCTTAGCAAAAATGTTGAAAATGTTTGTATTATTCTCCATCTGGTGACCGATGGCATTTCTACTATCATGGTATTCCAGGCAGTTTTGTATAGCTCAGATCTGGAGTCACACAGCATCATAAAAAAACAGGAAACATCCTGTCCCAACAATTGATGATTAATAAAACATATTTAACAAGTTGATTTTGTCTCTCAAAACACACACAAAAGGTTATCAGCCAAACATTTCTTTGGGCTGTGAAAATACTTTTACATTTTTTAATTATTCTTTCCCTTCATGAAGAAATATCCAGTTCACATTTTACCCCAAATGCAAAAGAAAACCAAGCACCAATAATATTTTTTAATTGGAACTTTCCATCTAAATTCTTATTACTGTAACGTTAAAAGAATAAATTAATTATATTTTTTCTTAAAAATAGCTTTTTTATTTTTTTATTTTTAAATAATACATTATAGATTTATTTTGCAGTCTTGTTCCTCTAAACATGCTTAATTTTCATGAAAATAATGTACGTTACAATGAAAAAATCCTAATGGTCTTAAATGTGACCTGGACTGGTTAATTCTGTCAGATTCATCATCATAGCTATATGTATCTTACATTTGCACAATTGAACAAGGAAAGCATCAAATTGTCAAATTTTCACTTGAAAATATACCTGAATGTATTGCCATTTTTAAATAATATATAGGCTTAATATCTATTTTTCAATAACTTTTTTAATTATCCATGTTGAATTACCTTTAAAAAAAATTCATTTTGACCCATAAGAGTTGCTCCAATTTTTTCCCTAATAATCATGTTTAGCATGAAAGCCAATGAAAAGCAAGCAGACATAAGTTCTAAATATTGTATAAGCAACACCTGATCTCATGCACCGTGTTTATGAAGAGCAGTGCTAGTGTACAGTATTTAATACAGTCTTGATGTTTTTCATTTAGCACATTAGTGTTGGGCTCATATTATACACCTGAATGTTAAATCCAATTGATGCTGGATTATATTGCACACAACTGTAATAGAATGTTACTATTCAATGTAATATTTGTTTTCTAGCTATCAATGAACACTGCACATTCCCTTTATTATGTTTAAACAGGCAGCTCGAGTACCAAGATGCTGTTATCTCTGCTGTTCACAACATCCACTCAATCTCTTATTAAATGCAATATAGTATGTCCAACCCATGAAACGGTTAACTTTTGCAGCACAGATTTTCAATGCACCTGTCATCCTCCGTTTGCCGCCTCAGCATTTCATCCCATAAATGCAAATGTGTAAATCGAGGCATTAAGGCTGTTGTTAATTATACACGGGTGCATCTTACACTTTTTCACTACGATACTAAGAGTTATTAGATGTAGTTTATATTATGTGTGGGGTGAATTTTAGGTGTGTATCCACGTTGCTCTTTGTGGAAAGGTGTTTTATATGAGAGACTGGGGATTGTTCATATTTTTTATGTCTAATGTTGAAACAGCCATGATTGCTTGGTGGCCTTGAATGAATTTGGAGGCACTTCTCTTTTGGAAATACTTGAGCTATGCTAAACGCTCACCGGTGTAGAGTCTCTATGTAATAAATGAAATGTTTAAACGGTGTCATTGTATTGATTTATTATACACTTTGTTTTTATTATAATATTACAATATATTATAATTTACTATATTTATATATATAATATATATTTGTGTTTGTGTCAGTGTATACTATATACACATTTATACATATATACTGTGTATATATATGTGTGTGTATATATATATATATATATATATATACACACACAGATACACACGCATGTATAATATATATTATTAAATAATAATTATAATTAAATAGTAATTAGTAGGAGTAGTACATTTCATAGGTTCTCAGTAGTAAAAAAAAACTGTTTTCCCCATATCACTATTTCCAGTGCCTCACAATAAATTACGCTTGTAATGCCTGACCAAAAAAAAAAAGCCCTCGCTTTAGGCAAATCCTTGAGAGTCTATGATTGTATCATTATTGCAGTGATTGTTATGTTTCTGGCAAGTTATATGTTTGGTTGAGTTCTTCTTCTAACCCTAATTGATGGAGTGTGTAATTTTCATTTCTTAAACAACCAGGAATCATGGCCATATTCCAGGATGACAATGTCATGTCAAGATTCATCAGGCTTAGATTGTAAAAGAATGGTTGTGAGGAGCATGAAGAATCATTTCACACATGAATCGGCTCCTCTGAGTCCATATCTTAGCCTAAATGCATTGAAAGTCTTTGGGATGTGCTGGAGGAGACTGTCATCATTCACTCACCCTCAAGTTGTTGCAAACCTGTATGAGTTTATTTCTTTTGCTGAACACAAAGGAAGAAATTTTGAAGAACGATTGGAACTTTGGCACCATTGACTTCCATAGTATATAGTATAAAAGAAATAAACTCATACAGGTTTGCAACAACTTGAGGGTGAGTAAATTGTGACCGAATTTTCATTTTTGGGTGGAGTATCCCTTTAAGATCGAATTAATACCAGTTTTTTTTTTTTTTTTTAAGATTACTGGCATGGCATCTGAGGACTAATTCTCCTTTTTTCCCTCAGTTATTTTGCTTTATTTACATATTCATCAATCATTGGCTCATTGCGTTTACATCTCTTGACAAACTGTAGGCCTAAATGAAATTTGTATTCGAAATGAAAGATGTAAATTGTACTGAATGTCACCTTACTTTGCTCAAGATAAAGACAAATTAAGTCCACACGTCTTACAAACAACAAGAAATATGGTTCTACAGGTCGTTCCAACTTTTGCGATGTAGTTTGAACTATTGATAACGAGTCGGAACTTTGCTTTTGGGAAACACACTCCTGTCTAGTTCAGTGTTGAGTCGTAAGTTTCTGTGGTTCATCATTTGACAAGACATTAATCCAAGGAAAAGAACACTGCCATCTGGCGTTCTTATGATATTGACTGTTTTGTGTGTGTTGGTTCTTCCTCCAGGGGGCGCTAGGCGGATCAGGAGCCGCACCAAAGCCCCTGTCTTCGGCCGCATTCAGTTTTTAAACGATTGTTTATTGGTATATCGGCAGAAATTCATAAACTCCAGTAATTAACAAAAATGACTGAAAAAATACTGATTCAGTAATCACAAACAAAATGTGCTTGGTCTCATATCAGTCGTTGGTTCCACGTGACAACACCTAGATCTAGATGTGTAAATAATGATAAACATCGAAGATTTAGAATAGAAAAATTATTGACACATAATTAAAAACGACGTCTAGACCACCAACATATGGAAACCATTGCCCTTCTATTCTCTACGTCATCACTTCGCGACTGCAAAACAGTACTCGGGAGGAACCCACATGGTCAACTGAACTGTACACTGTACTGTTATTTTTTTCATTTATGAAAGCTGTACATGAATACATGCAGTCATTATAATTTTTAAGTGAGTCAAATAAAGGTCTACGTGGCGCTGAAACGAGCCAGGAGTCACTATAATGGCGCTATTTATGATAAACAGGTAACGTTATGCATATATTACAGTATTTGTTGTTTGCTGCACATTTAGTTCACTGACACAGAACTTCTTAGAGTAAGTTACTTGACCAGTTATATTATAAGTAATGACTCTCACTTCAGATTACATCACAGTTAGTTGTATAGTCTGGCATAGAATTCTCCGTTTATCTTACATTTCATCTGAAATGACTTAAAAACACTTCCTTCAAATTACTGTATAATTATCGACTGTATTATTGTATAATTATTTGACTTCACGAAGTATTTATAATCTTAAATAATCTCATTGCAGAGTTATTTAAGTAAATTGGCGATTAAAAGAATGAAAAATATACACATTAAAAATAAAATATAAAACAGTAAATAAACATAAAATATACAGTTTCACTTTATACGTTGATATATAATTTAACCTAAAATCTACATGTTGAAAAAAGGGTTATTCCGTGTCAAATCAAACAAATTTCGGATACTTCCCCGGCTCATTTCTTTTTAATTTTGTTAATATTTTTTCTGTACAAAGACAAAAAAAAACAAAAAAATAGTGATGAAAGCCAAATATTAAATGTCACAGATGTATATTTATTGAGTAATACACTATTTTGTAGAGGAGGGTCAAAATGTCAATTTTTGCTTGAGATTTTGAGTCAATTTAGTGGGGTGTAAAAATGACTTATTAGAAAGATGGCAGCATTATTATTTTATTTTTACACAGAGATTGGTAGGTCTATTAGTAAAATCTGTTGACTTTAGCCATCTTTGTTGCATTATGCTAACAGTTCAAAAATAGAAAAAAGCACTTGTGTTTGGACTGTAACACTATGCACACAGCTGATACTTTTTTCTTTTAACGAGGAATATCTAAAAACAAATAATGTTAAAACTAAAAATGTATTTCCTTTTTTTCTATCAGCTCAATTGCATAGAATACACATGCATGAGTGCCATACATTTTCTTTTTCCAAAGTTTGCATGCCTGTAACTCTAAAAGTATTCAAGTTATATTTATATCCTTCTAGATTCTCATTCTTAATAAACTTTTCTTTTGGAATCTTTATTTTTAAGGCCCTATATGGTTCAGTCCCAGAGATATTGGGACCCCAATGTGACTCCATGTCCAAATTGTTGAATTTTACACGTTTTCAATGGTCAAGAACCAAATGTAGGTAACATTTTATACAGCTGATAGGTATTGTGTTCAGAAATAAAAAATTTGAGCCGGGGCCCTCTGGTTGCGTTGACACGGAATGACCCAAAAGAAGTTCATATTATTTGTCAACAACCCATCATCCCATGTGACACCCTGTCTATTGATGTGTTGTATGTGATCAGGTATTTAGGGGAGGAGGAGGACAGTGAATCTAGCAGAGAGTCTCGATCCAGAGCTTTGCTGGCTAAACTTCAGGAGCAGGTCAAAGCCCGAGAACAGCAGAGCGTCTCAAACACGGCTGATGAAGATGAAGACCACCAGGGTGAGAAAGAACAAAAGAAAAGAAAACGTGAACGGCAAG